TCAGTCTGGAGGCCTGTGACTAATGGTGTGCCCCAGGGATCGTGCTGGGACCTTTGTTATTTGTTATTTACATAAGTGATCTGGATGTGATCATACAAAGCATGATTAGTAAGTTTGCGCATGATACAAAATTAGAAGGTATCATCGATAGCGAGGAAGGTTATCAAAAACTACAGAGGAATCTTGATCAGATGGGGAAGTAGGCCAAGGACTGGCAAATGCAATTCAATACAGGTAAGTGTGAGGTAATGCATTTTGAAAGTCAAACCAGGATAGGACTAATTCCAGTTAAATGGTAGGGTCCTGAGGAATGTTGCAGAACAGAGGGACCTCGGAGTAAAAGTTCATCGTTCATTGAAAGCAGCATCACAGGTGGACAGGGTGGTGAAGAAGGCATTTAGCATGCTGGCTTCATAGGTCAAGGCATTGAGTATAGGAGTTGGGATGTTATATTACCATAGTATAAGTCGGTGAGGCGGCACTTGGAGTATTGTGTATGGTTTCATTCACCCTTTTGTAGGAAAAACAGAGTTAAACTGGAAAAGTGTGCAAAGAAGATTTACGAGGATGTTACCAGAACTAGTAGGCCTGATTTATAGAGAGAAGTTGCCAGGATAGGACTTTATTCCTTGGAACATAGGAGAATGAGGGATGCCCTTACTGAGGAGTATAAAATCATGACAGCCATAGGTAGGATGAATACATATACTGTTTTTCCCAGGGATGGGGTATTGAAATTTAGAGGGCATATGATTAAGGTGAGAGGGGAAAGATTTAAGAAGGACCTGAGAGGCAACTTCTTCACACGGAGAGCAGTGCATATATGGAATGGGCTGGCAGAGAAAGTAGTTGAGGCAGGTACAATAGCAACATTTAGATACATGGATGGGAAGGGTTTAGAGAGATATGGACCAAATGCCACAATTGGAAATAGCTGAGTGGGCACCATAGTCAAAATGGACCAATTTGTCCTGAAGGACCCGGTTCCATGCTGTATTACTCTATGACTCTATCCATACTCTCAACCTTCAGTGGGCCAACAGTATTCTTAACCAGCCACTTTCCCTTTGTATAAGTACAAAGGCTCTTCTAATTGATAAGCCAATGGGTGGATCTTTGTTGACGTTTGCATTTGTCCCAATATGTGAGATCTGTACTCATCTTTGGATTTTTACAAGCCTTTTCTTTAACTTTTATGCTGTGCCTTCCCCCTAACTAGAAGTGCGTAGCATTTTTTTGAATAGGTACCTTCCTTTCTCATGCTTCTGACTAGCATTAAATATTTCTTTGAACATCCTCCACTTTCCTCAGTTGTTTTCCCTGTTAGCAGAGATTCCCAGTTTTAGCGTGGGCAGTCTCTGCCTCATCCTATGAAAGTTTTCCTTACTTAAATCTAAATTTAAATTCGATCTCCATAGCCCACAAATTGGTCACTTTCAACTATATATCCAGCTCTCTTTTGAAGCCTACCATCAAATCCACCGCCACCACTTTCTGAGGCAGCACATTCCAAATCCTAACAACACTGAGTAAAGAACTTTCTCCTCATCTCATTCCTAGCTCTCTTGCTGACAATCTTGAAGTTGTTGGAAATCATTCTGATTTCCCCATCAATCTTTCAGAATTTCTAAGACTCGCCACTTTCATTTCTCAATGAGACAGACACGTTCAGCTAATAAAAACAAAATACTGAGGATTCTGGAAATCTGAAACAAAAATGCAGTGCTGGAGAAACTCAACACATCTGTGGAGGGAGAGAGGGAGAGAGTTAGCATCTTGAGTCTGGTATAACTCTTCTTCGCATCTGAGACATGTTCAGCATCTCTAGAAGTTAAAACCTCTCAGAATCGTTCACTTTTGTTTGCAATTTCTCCAGCGCTACTCAATTTCATCATCCACTTTCATTTTAACCGATCTCTTCTTAACATCGAAGATCTAGGGTGAGAGGAATTTGGGGTTTTTGTTGAGCTGCTTCTTCTCTCTAAGTCACTGTGAATACTCCAGGCACAGAAATACACGGCCGAGTGATCCACTCGGAGGCTGGGAGATTTCAGGTTAAATTCGGTGTCACTCGGTCGTTCGGCGGTGAAACCGTCCACCAGTTCCTCTGGAGTTATGATATTGCTACCTGCAGAGTAAAACATGAACTGCGGCTCCTTCCTTGGGCTTTGTCTGTACCAGTAAAGGTTGCTGGTACCCTGCACAGTGCACTTCAGAGTCACATTCTCCGCGGGCATTTTGGTGACAGCAGCGGGAATCTGGTGGATTGTCTGCGAATCCACGACTGCAACAGAGACAGGGAGAAGAAGCGGTCAGTTAATGAAGAAAAGGTGTAGAGCTGGATGAATACAGCAGGCCAAGCAGCATCATAGGAGCAGGAAGGCTGATGTTTCGGGCCTAGACCCTTCATCAGAAAAATCAGGGCAAAGATAGAAGCAGTAAAACAAAAGTTCATGAACATAACCAGTGTTTGAGAAAATCCCTTACAGTGAAACATAGTCATTGGACCTATGAACAGATACATCATTTGCTTGACGTTTCCTATTTGTAAGGGAAAGTGCGAGCACAGCAGTTTGGCGCCTTGGGGAGAATCAACCCGCGCTTTGCAAGCATTTGATGGATAGATCAGGGCTCTAAGGGGTGGGATGGAATTGGACACGCCCCCAGACCCGTCAACCAATCGGAACTAACATGGCTGTTTTACCTTTTGGCAGAGCTTCCCAGTTGACAACGGACAGTCCGTGCCTCATATCGTTGAAATCTGCCTTTCTTAAATCTAAAATTAAATCAAATCCCTGTAGACCTTTAAATCCCTCACTTTCAAGTATATATCCAGCTTTCTTTTGAACAATCTTCAGGAATCCGCCTCCACCACTTTCCCAGGCAGCACTTTCCCTGACAATTCTGAGTAAAGAGGTTTCAGCGCGTGTCACTCCTAGCTCTCTTGCTGACAATTTTGGAATCGTTGGAAACCATTCCGACTTTCCCATCAATCTTTCAGAATTTCTAAGACACATATGGGGACTATTCCCCTCCTTTCAGTTCCCAATGAAACAGATATCAGCAAAGTAAAGCTGATAATAGGTTCCCAGTTATCCCCCTGAATATTCGCGAAGCAGAAAGGCTATTGGCATGTGTTTTGCCAGTGTTGGAGAGGTTCGGTGGCAGTCCCTAGCAGGTTCAAGTCCCAGCTCAGGATTTGATGGTCACGGCGGTGTTTCATAACAGGTTGATTAAAGAGGAAGAGACAGTAGGAACTGCAGATGCTGGAGAGTCTGAGATAACAAGGTGTAGAGCTGGATGAACACAACAGGCCAAGCAGCATCAGAGGAGCAGGAAAGCTGACGTTTCGGGCCGATACCCTTCTTCAGAAATGGGGGAGGGGAAAGGGGCTCTGAAATAAATAGGGAGAGAGGGGGAGGCGGATAGAAGATGGATAAAGGAGAAGATAGGTGGAGAGGAGACACAGGTCAAAGAGGCGGGGGTGGTGCCAGTAAAGGTGAGTGTAGGTGGGGAGTTAGGGAGGGGATAGGTCAGTCCAGGGAGGACGGACAGGTCAAGGGGGCGGGATGAGGCTAGTAGGTAGGGGATGGGGGTGGGGCTTGAGGTGGGAGGAGGGGTGGAAGGACAGGTTAGGGAGGTGGGGACAAGCTGGGCTGGATTTGGGATGCGGTTGGGGGAGGGGAAATTTTGAAGCTTGTGAAGTCCACATTGATACTATTGGGCTGCAGGGTTCCCAAGCGAAATATGAGGTGCTGTTCCTGCAACCTTCGGGTGGCATCGTTGTGGCACTGTAGGAGGCCCAGGATGGACATGTCGTCTAAGGAGTGGGAGAGGGAGTTGAAATGGTTCGCGACTGGGAGGTGCGGCTGTTTAGTGCGAACCGAGCGTAGGTGTTCCACAAAGCAGTCCCCAAGCCTCCACTTGGTTTCCCCGATGTAGAGGAGGCCACATCTGGAACAGCGGATACGGTGTACCAAATTAGCAGATGTGCAGGTCCCCTCCAGCCCCACCACACCCGGCACTTTTCCCTGCAACTGCAGGAAGTGCTACACCTGCCGCTACGCCTCCCCCCTCACCCCCATCCCAGGCCCCAAGAAGACCTTCCACATCAAGCAATGTTCACAGTGTGGAGCTGGAGGATCTGAGATAACAAGGTGTAGAGCTGGATGAACACAGCAGGCCAAGCAGCATCAGAGGAGCAGGAAAGCTGACGTTTCGGGCCTAGACTCTTCTTCAGACCTACTATCTGTGGAGCTGGAGGAAATGGTCCCGGCCCGAAACGTCAGCTTTCCTGCTCCTCTGATGCTGCCTGGCCTGTTGTGTTCCTTCAGCTCCACACTGTGTTTTCTCTGACTCCAGCATCCGCAGTTCTTAACTAAGTCTAAGATGCGTCGTGCCTGGTTTTATCGTTAACAGGTGTTTCCGGCCCTGGATCACCGTGACAACTTCAGATGAGGCTTTCGCCAGGAACCAGGATGGGGGCGGGGGGGCGGGGGGCATCTGTTTGATTTCAGAGCCACTCAGTTGCTTGAAAGAGAAACCGTTCATCCTCTCCCTCTAGATTGTCATGGTGTGCAGCATCGGAGTACAATACATGCCAACGTACTGGTGCCCTGCATGGTGCATTTCTGTTCCATCTCACCCTTTTCAACTGAGGAAAAGACTGCATACAGTACTGCCGATGTGGTCCCACCAAACCTCTGCAATAAATCTGTCCATTTTTACATGCTATTCCTTGTGCAAAGAAACGAATTTCTCGGAGGCAGACGTGTTCAACTAATAGAATGAAAATACTGAGGATATTGGAAATTTGAAAAAAAAAAGACAATGCTGGAGAAACTTGGCAGGTCTGGCGACGTCTGTGGGGGTGGAGGGAGAGAGAGAGAGAGTTAATGCTTCGAGTCTGGTATAATTTCTTCAGATCTGAGACATGTTTAGCTTCCCTAAAAGTTAAAACCTCTCAGAATTTTCCACTTTTGTTTGCAATTTCTCCAGCGCTACTCAATTTCATCATCCGCTTTCATTGTAACTGATCTCCTTATGTCAAAGATCTGCGGTGAGAGGAAACAGCTTTGTTTCCAGCTGCCGTTTGGGGTTTTTGTTGAGCTGCTCCTTATCTCTGAGTCACTGTGAATACTCCAGGCACAGAAATACACGGCCGAGTGATCCACTCGGAGGCTGGGAGATTTCAGGTTAAATTCGGTGTCACTCGGTCGCTCGGCGGTGAAACCGTCCACCGGTTCCTCTGGAGTTACGATATTGCTACCTGTAGAGTAAAACATGAACTGCGGTTCCTTCCCTGGGCTTTGTTTGTACCAGTACATGTAAGGGTTGCTGGTACCCTGCACAGTGCACTTCAGAGTCACTTTCTCCCCGGGAGTTTTGGAGACAGCAGCGGGAATCTGGTGGATTGTCTGTGAATCCACGACTGCAACAGAGACAGGGAGAAGAGGCGGTCAGTTAATGAAGACAATCAGGGCAACAGAGAATGATAACGCTAAACAAAAAGCTCATGAGCACAACCATTGAGAAAATCCCTTACAGTGAAACATAGTCATTAGACCCAGGATCAGATTCATCATTCGCTTGAAGTTTCCTGTTTGTAAGGGAAGGTGCTGGCTCAGCAGTTTGGCGTCTTGTGGAGAACCAATTCGGTCTTTCCAAGCTATTGACCGATACATCAGGGCCATAAGAGGAGGGATAGGATTGGACACGCCCCCACGCCCTTTAACCAATTGGAACTAATATGACAGTTTTACCTGTGAGCAAAACTTCCCCGTTTACGATGGACAGTCTCTGTCTCATCCCATTGATGCGGAGGTGCCGGTGTTGGACTTGTATCCGAAGGGATAGCGCTTCGAAAGCTTGTGATTTCAAATAAACCTGTTGGACTATAACCTGGTGTCGTGTGACTTCTGACCGCATCCTATTAAAGTCTGCCTTACTTAAATCTAAAATTAAATCCAATCCCCGTAGCCTTTTAAATTCATCACTTTCAAATATATATCCAACTCTCTTTTGAACACTCTTAAGGAATCCGCCTCCATCACTCTCCCAGGCAGCGCATTCGAAATCTTAACAACTCTGAGTATACAAACACGTCATTTGCCGCATGAGGACCCTGCCGCCTTCTGGAGTCAACATCGAGTGTAACAACTTCAGGGCTTGAGCTCTCGAATGTCCTTACCCCTCGTTAACACAGTCTGTTATTACACACGACCCATTGTTAGCCACGAACAGTCCTCATTAACAACTATTCACCACCAGCACCGCCCCCACCCCAGCCGGATTGCTATCCACTCCTTTGTCCAACTGTTTGGGCAATCTCTTTGGGCTTTATCCCCACCTACCGTTTACTACTTTCCCCTTTCTCCCATCCTATCTTCTGCATATAAACCGACATTTTCCGACCGACGGTCTGTTCTGAGGAAGAGTCACTTGACGTTAACTCTGATTTCTCGCCACAGATGCTGCCAGACCTGTTGAGCTTTTCCAGCAATTTGTTTTTCTTTGGTTTCTGAGTAAAGAAGTTTCTCCTCACCTCACTCCTACCTCTCTTGCTGATAATTTTGAAAATGTTGGATATCATTCCCTGTTTCGCATCAATCTTTCCGAATCTCTACGACACGTATAGGAACTGCTTCCCTCCTTTCGGTTTCCAATGACACAGACACATTCAGCTAAGAAAATCTAATAAGATCCCAGTTGCCTATCTGAATATATTCGCGAATCAGAAAGGCTATTAGTCGAATTTTTCTCCAGTTAATCGTCTCGGAAAGGCTCAGTGGCAGTGCCCTACCGGGTTTTAATGCCAGCTCAGGATTTGATTGTCAAGTTGATTAAAGAAAAAAACTGCATCTGCATGTGTTCCAGTGTGAGAGCGCGGACTGTTAATGGTTTCCTTCTCTGCCTGTGTAACATGTTGAATGGCCTCCTACTGTTCCTCTCTCATTGATCAGTTACATGGTCGTAACACTCCCTCTGGGGTCACTGTGCCTCAACACAATCTCTAGATGAAATACCAAGTCTTCTTATTTCCTTTCCTGCCTTGATCTATCTTTCTGTAATTCCTCCTTAATTAGCATATTTTGTCCATACAACACTTAATGTGTAAGTGGTTTGTGGAATCTCTTGCACATTCCTGCTCTAGGCAAATGTACTTTATCATAAATCTAGACAATTGTTTGAAATGCCTGCCAAGCTCACCAGATGCAAAATGTAGAGAGGGCCATGTTCAAAGCCATTCAATCTCGTGTACCCCCGCACTTATTATTGTGTTTCCACCTCACCCAACAGTGTTTTCCATATTACAGATAATTTCTCGGGAGGTGGTGGAGCTGTGTCAATGCAACTGGGCTATTAATCCCCAAGGTCATGCTTTGCAGACGTAGACTTAAATCTCACCACAGCAATTCAACCAATGAAATTTGAAATTGAAATTTCAAGTCCCACGTCCTCATCACTCTCAGATTTTAAAAAAGTCTCCTGAATTCCTCACGGAATTTTTCACTGGTTATCTTTAATGGTTACGTGCAATTTTTTAAGCACCCTCCCTCCCCCCATGCCACCCCACCCCAACATTCGGAAATTTCTTCTCTACGCCATCCCTAACAAGCTATGTTAGAATTTTAAAGATGTTTAATCAGGACACCTCAGCCGATTCTGTAGAGAGCCTTGTAACCTTCAATCTTTCGTCAGTCATAATCTGTCCTCTCCGATGTCATCATTTACAAGTCTTTCTATGGATCTTGTGTTCTGCACCTAACCCATCGCTCTTAATTAACAGAACAAAATGCTCCGTTTGCAAAATAGACACAGACAGGACGAGCCGAGGCGACGAGTGGTGTCATTCACAGTTGTTTCGTGCAACCTTCTATTCTTGTAGACTCCAATTTGATGTTATTCCAACATGTTGTGGACATCCCCGTGACAGCGATTTGTTCCTCTACACAACCTGGAATACATTTTTACATTTTAGGCACTTCACTTGATTCACGCCTCAATATTCCACATTGCAGTCTGTTCTATTAATTTTCCTTCCAAGCCCTCTATTGTTCTGGTGAATCTGAGCTGCGACGCCCTCTACAGTTTGTCCATTCCACAATCCCTCCTCTGGGTCTTGTTGTTCCTGGCAGCTCCCCATCATTAATTAGGGGATGAGGGCCAGGGTTGATAATCTGATTGGGCGGGATCTGGATATCAATCAGAGTGAGGAGAGGAGCAATGTATTTTCAATGTTGTCTTGCCACTGACAAAGGTTGTTTGAACGGGAACGTTAAAGTGGAAGAGGTATCTGTTGCTGGCTCAGTTCATCATATTTCACCGTAAGGGTCTTCACAATTTTTTTTTTAAAAATCTGACATCTAACTTTCTTTCCACTGGCTGTCCTTCCCTCCTGCGGTTTTTTATTTTTGTTCCCTTTTCTCTCAATTTCACTTAATTTATCTTGTTTCACCTACGTTTCTCACTATCATGATGGACAGAAGCATCTGCAGCAGGCAGATTCATGTGAATGAGGTCAAGTATATTTTTCCCTCTTGTCGGTTCCTTCACCACATGTCACAGACCAGGTCTGTCTAACGATTATGTCATTTAGGATTCAACTAGCTCAGTTCGTAGGGGTTCTGCCAAGCCAATCTTCATGATGGGCATTGAAGTTCCCCACCCAGAGTACATTCTGTGCCTTTGCTGCTCTCAGTTTTCCTTTAAGTGGTGTTCAACATATAGGAATACTGATCAGCCAAAGAGGAAGGTTATGGCACATGGTCATGAGCAGGAGATTTCAGTGCCCGTATTTGACTTGATGCTACAAAACTTCATAGGGTTTGGAGTCAATGTGCCTCCTGACTTTATACCTCTGTGCTCTCCAGAATCTTGTTCACTCTGGGTGAGCTCAATTCAGAAAGAATAAAAAGCAGACTAGGTTTAAGTCTGGTGCTGCCTTAGATTGAAAATGGCCTGCACCAATCAGCTTTCTCATCCTTAGAGTTCTAGCCAATGAGAGCAACAGTGTACCCAGTTTCCTGCGGATTCCAATCTGGTGGGGGATGGGTGGGGAGGGAACACTTTGTTGAGCATCATCTTGTGAAGAGGTAAGTTGGTCTTCTGGTCCGTGATTGGTCCAATGATTGTCTGTCTGAAATTGATCAGATGTATGTCTCAGACTTACTGTATATACAATGATTTAAGATGATCTGGTAGATCTGCCATAGGTGACCTTGTAAGCACTCTCTAGACCAGTTGCTTCATGATGATTATACCACCTTTATTCCTCCAGAAAGGTAAAATTTACTTAGTCTCAATTTTTGAATAGGACTAATTTTAAACCACAATTAAATTTTAGTCAACATTAATAGCTGTAGACTTGGATTCTAAAATTACATTTCCTCCCTCCTAGGATTATTCAAATCAAATATCTAAGAATAAAACATTCTTTCTAAGTAAATTATAGCACAGAAAATTCCCTGAGTTAATCGCTCTCAGTCCATTGAGTTCCCATTTAATTATTCTCGAGAAGTTTGAAATCCTGAGGTATCAAGTGTATCTATAACTTTCAGAATAATCACTTAATATTTTATTTTAAAAATAAATCTACATGATGTCATAATAATAGTAACAATATTATAAAGTATAAAATAATTAAAATAGTTAATTCATCCAGAAATAAATGTAGGATAAGAAATCCACCTACTTATTCAGTTTGCACTACAAATTCACTTAAAAATAAACATAGGATATTCAAATAATTCAAACAAATAGGTAGAAATTGTAATTTTTGTCTTATCTCAGCTTTGAGATTTTTTTCTGAAGTCTCTGAGCTTGACCAGAGATGGCAAGGTTTCATGCTTCCCTTCAAGCTAGATTTAAAGAAAGTCCCATGCTTTTTATTTTAATTTGTCACAGATGTGAGTGCGATTATTGCCCAGAGAGCATCAACCACACTGCAATGGATTTGGAGAGACAAAACCAGATAAGATTGGGAGGTTTCCTTCCCTAAAAAGTATAAGTGAACCAGGCGGGACTTTACAACAATGACATGGTTATATGCTTATCATTAGACTAACTTTTATTCCAGATTTTAATTGAATTCAAACTTTACAAACTACTAAGGTGGAATTTGAACCTATATATCCATAGAAAGCGAAGACTGGTTTCCTTTCGCGGGTACAGGGTAGTACAAACTACTTCGCAAGGTACCCATAAACAAGGACAAGTGGGTAAGCTGAAAAAAAATTCAAAGTGTTTGCTGGTACATCATATCCCAAGTTTCGTTTGGCTAGACTTGCACATAGAAACATTGCAGAAGTTTTAATCATATCTCACTGTTCGCATCACAGAAGTTAATCCCAAGAGGGAAATAAACAGCCAAAAATCACAACAATACTTGAAATGAACATCCTGGAAGTACTGGAGCTCCATTTTGAAGTATACAAGATGAGTCAACCCAGTTGGTCTCAAATCAGTTGTACTGTTTTTTCCTTCTGGGTCTGAAGCATTGAATCAAGGAACAGGAGTAGGATATTCAGCCCTTCAAGACAGCTCTACCATATGATCATGGCTAAACATCCAACTCAGAGGGAGGCCTAATGATGTCATTATTGGGCTGTTAATCCAGAGACATAGGTAATGTTCTGGAGACCAGAGTTTGAATCCACCACAGCAGATGGTGGAATTTGAATTC